AACAAGACTTCAGGAAAACAACTGTGGACTTCCACATGTGCGGCTCATCTATTGGTGCAATTTCCAGATAACTGAAGGTCCCACGTTCATCAGTTCAGACAATAATACACAAGTATAAAAACATGGGAACGTACAACCATCAAACCGCTAGGGAAGGAGACAGATTCTGAGTCCAAAAGAGGAAATTTTTTGTGTGAAATGTGCAAAACAAATCCAGGACATCAGGAAAAGACCTTGTGAAGATGCTGACTGACACTAGAAAAACAGCGTCACTGAGTGAGTCCTGTACCACGAGCTGAAAGATTACTCTTGGAGGAAAAAGCCATACTTGAAAACCATCATAAAAAAGTCAGACTACAGTTTGCAACATGGGGACAAAAATCTTAATCTTTGGGGACATGTCCTGAGGTCTGACCAAACAAAAACTGAACTGTAATGATAAACTTTATATTTGAGGAAAAAGGAGGAAGCTTTGAAGCCTCAGAACATCATCCCAACTCTGAAGTGTGGGGGCGACAGCATCATGTTGTGGAGCTGTTTTGCTGCAGAAGGGACTGATGCACTTCACAAAATAGATGGCACGTAAACAGTACACGCTTAAGCAACATCTGAAGACATCAGCCACAACGTTGAACCTTGGATGTAAACTGGTCTTCCGAATGGACAATGACCCCAAACATACCTCCAAATTAGTTACAAAGTGTTTTAAAGACAACAAAGGGTGTCAGAGTGGCCATCACAAAGCTCTGATCTCAGTCCCACAGAGAATTTGTGGGCAGCACTGAAAAGGTGAGTGACAGCAAGAAGGCCTACAAACCCGACCCAGTTACACCAGTTCTGTCTCTCAGTGAGCCCAGATTCCAGAAAACTGTTGAGAAAGTTTGTGGAAGGAAATCTGAAACGTTTGGCTGAAGTGAAACAGTTTGACAGTAATTCTACTAAATACTAAGAAGTGCATGTATGCTTCTGACTCTGATGAAAGTAATAAAAAACCCACAACAAATATCTTTCTCTATTCGGACATTTCACAAATACAAAAAATATGTTAACAAAAAATGTTACTCTGATTTGATGTTTGACAGTAAAGAAAAATGTTTTTTTCCTGAAGTGTCTGTAAATATCTGGTTTCAACTGCATCTTTAATATAATGAACATGTGCAGGATTCTCACTCCTGTCTTTGTCTCTTCACACACAGTTAATCACATCAAACGTAACAATAAACATAAACTTTAAATCTCACTTCCACTTAATGCTATTTGATCAGGTGTGTGATAATGTCAATATTTAATAAGGAATAAGTTCAAATTTTAACAGCACAAAATGCTGTCAGTTTAAAAAAAAAAATAAAAAAAATCTAACTTTCTACTTTACTGTGAAGCAGGTTTTACAGTGTTTCATCCTCTTCTATCCTCATTGTGCTTCTGGTATGTGGCTGAAGTTTGTTAAACAAAGAATGAGTGAAGGTTCTACATCCTGCTTCCTACAACTGAACAGATAAAGACTGAATCCACACGATGGCCATAAAAGAGCAACATGTTCTTATCCCAAAGCGTAACATATCGACACTGTGACAAATTGTCGGTATGTTGCGCTTTGGAAACATGAGAACCGTGTGGAATGAATCTACACATGTACATTTATTTTACTTTTTCATCGCTTTGAAAAACACTGTCTGACACGATTAAGGCTGTGGTTAGGGCTGGAATAAACAGCTGGATCGTGTCTTACCACCAGGAGCATATCATAGGGACACTGAAGGTTTGTTCTAGAACCTTTTGCCTCAGGATGTGACAAAACGCTGGCATGTTACTCGTTGGGAAAGAGAGCGGTCTCAAAGGAGATGTTATTACTTTGCTTCTTTGTCACTGCTTGTAAGAACCCTGTTCATGCTGTATTGATCCCTTTGCAAAGGTTTCAACTTTCTTTTAAAAAATCTCAGAAATTTTTTCCACAACATACAAAAAATCTCTGTGCAGAGAAATTTCTGCTGTGACTGATGTTTGGCTGTAGACTGCCTCAACATGCAGATCTTAAACTGAGTGGGGAGGGTTAGGACAATGAGACCCTGAGATCCAGCACATATTCTTACTTGGATACATCCTGGATTCTTTTTTATATTTCAGACCTTCAGATTTGGTGAGTAAACATTGATGTGCACTCTATTCATGAAGAGAGTTGAGTCAGCACATTTTGAATGTTTACAACTGAAAGACAAACCTCGTGAGAATTCTTCTCCAACTGATCCTTCAGTCTTGCTGTTGTGTCTTTCACCTGCTGGAGCTGCTGTTTGATGTTTTCAGTAATCTTCTCTGACTGCAGCTGAAATGTTACATGAAGAAAGAGCAGAAGGAAGAAATCTTCATGTTTAAGACACAATAATGAAACACGACCAGTCACATTAAAGCTGTATGATGTAAATATAAGGGAGCTGATGTAGCATGATGCTAACAACATGAAGTGTTGTGGGATGATGTCAACAATCTTGCAGTGGTAGGATTTCAAAGTTGTGTTTGGTTAATGACACAGAAACTGCTGCTGGACAAAACTGCAGGGATATAAGTGCACAGGTCTGTGATCATTGGGAGGATGACAGCATCACATATGTCCATGTTTACCTCTGTGTGCTGAGAGATGCTTTCACTGACCTTTGAGTCCAGTGCAGGAAATGTTTCCATCAGCTTCTGAATGATTTCATCCTTCTCAGAGTTGATCATCTGTCAGAAATAAAGACAGATGTTGTTTCTGCAGCACTTTGTTGATAAAAGTGACAAAATTACTGAAGTTTCACACTGTGAGCAACATGTTCATGTATAGAAATACTTTAACAGTCAACAAATGAACAAAATAATTGTCCTTCCTTACTCTGCAACTGCAACAATGGAAGGCAAAACACGTGTGTGTGATTACACAATGCAATCACACATTCATTCATAAAAAGTTAATAAATTAAGTTCTATATAGAAATAAGAGAATTAGAATCAATTAGACATTTGGTGTCAAATAAACAAAATAACGTCTAAAGTTTCCTTCATAACTCTTTACAATACAGAGATAAAGAGAATTTTGTCAGCATATTAAAAATGTTTACAGTGGAAGAACAAACCTCGTGACATTTGGACTTGAACTGATTCTTCAGTTTCTCTGCTGCTTGTTTCTCCTGCTTGAGCTGATTGATGGTTTCAGTGTTCTTCTTCTCCAACTGCAGGTGAAATGTTACATGAAGAAAGAGCAGAAGGAACAAATGTTCATGTTTAAGACACAATAATGAATCAAATTAACTCAAAAACTGCAACCAAGTGAAACTGTAGAGCACTGTACAGTACCTTTCTAGGCTGTTGTTTTAAAATATATTTGTGTCCAAACTTTTTTTTAATATTTACTGCATTATTATTTCTATGCTTTTTTTTCTTTTTTGCAGGAGCTGATTGATGGTTTCAGTTTTCTTCTCCATACTGCAGGTGAAATGTTACATGAAGAAAGAGCAGAAGGAACAAATGTTCATGTTTAAGACACAATAATGAAACACAACCAGTCACATTAAAGCTTTAAATAAGTTGGTTCATACAAATAAGTAACGATGAAAAATGTATTTAAATGTTTTATTTGAATTATCTAAATAATTTAAATAAATGAAGGCCCAAAGGATATATTTGATTTTGAATGTAGTGTCTCCAAAAATAAAAGTAGATTTTACTTAAACACACACACAAACAAAACATTTATAAAATCTGATTTATAAAACAAAACAACTAGACTGTTTTTGTTTTTTGTGTTTGTTGGTAAAGTTTTACGTTACTCCTAAAAACAGAGCGGACAAATATTTTCTACTCACTTCCAAATACAGGTGACACTTTTGCCTCTCCTGTTGCTGCCCTAAAACAACACTTTTTACTTAAAGTAAATGTTGTTGTGGAACACAAGCTTTCACAAAGTGAACACAAGCTTTACATTAGACAGTTATTCAGTATGTGGCCAGCTTGTGTGACCTTGCTTTTAAACGTGAGTTTGATGACAGAACAGAAGAATCGATCAGCTAGCTGAACACGTGTTTAGCTCCAGCACAGGAGAAAGACCTGATTGGATAAAGCTGCTACACTGGCAACACAAACGGAATCTGCAGTTCAAAAATAAACTAAATCCATGGTCTGTCTAAGTCTCCTGCTGCAAAATGATCTAAGAACTGTTTCGGCTGTGGTTCAAACAGTCATCTAGCTAACTTTCATCAGTGTCCTGCTGCCAGAGCTACTTGTAAACTGTGTGATAAAGTTTGTCCATGTCTGCTGCTCATCCAAGACAAGAGATGTTTGGCGAATCCACCTACCAAAACTGACTACACTTTACTTAACAGACACTTTGTATTCATCAAAAAGATTAAAATGCAGCATAAATGTGAGCACACCTACTTCCTCAGCTAAGGACATCCATCTGATTTTGGACACAGGCTCAGCAGTTTGTATTTTGCCAAACACATCTACAAAGAGCACTTCAGCGATACACCACTAAAACCACCTGATCTTCAACTGGTTACATGCAAAAAGAAAATAATTCCTGTGTTAGGCTGAACATCACCCTTTTAGATAACACTGTTCTGCCCCCATGTGCTGCTCCTGCTGCTTCTGTGATCTCTACAAACACATCACCTGCTTCCTGCATCCCTGCTGCCCAGATATTGACTGTGTGCATGAAGTGAAACAACTCTGAAAAACAACTCTCATGCCTCCGAATGAGGCAAGATTTTCTTGTAAAAACAAGGGGGGCCTAGAAAAAAAGAGTTTAGGAGCCACTGCTGTAGACAAACACCAGGGTCCTCTCTAACGATGGCTGCCACCCTCACATCTTACACACACACACAGACAGCTCTAACATGTTGCCCCATCTCACAGGCCTATGCCTTCCCTTCAAGGAGAGAGATTTATGCTCTTTTCACTGAGCTGTTGCCTCCCTTCTTCCACAGAAGAGCAGGAGGGCCCCACTCTATCTACTTACTGGAATGGCCACTGTGTGTGTTTCTGTGTAGGACACATTTGATAGAGCATAAGACACGTTTGTGAAGCTAACCTAAGTGATAAAGCGATACTACTATTGCTAAAGTGATATGGTTAAAATATGTGATCAATACATAGAATAAAGAAATTTCCACCACATGTCACAGAGAAACCTGCAGCGTTTGCTTCCTGCAAACTGTTTGCAACAGAACAAACGTTTTTTACTGGTGAAAAAGAAGCTCTTGCTGGTGTGTGGACTGCAGGGAAATGGAAAACATATTTGTGAGGCTGATGTTTCACTCTGCAGACAGACCTCCAAGCTCTGGCAGCGCTGCTGAGCACCAAAGGCATTCATAGGGCGGGAATGAGTATCACCTGCTGGTCTGCTGTTATTTACCGCCCAGGTTCTCTGAGTCATACAGCTGACTGTCTATCTCGTCTGCTTCTGCCTGTTTCTTCACATCTCACTTCGGATGCAGATCTTGAAATGGTAGCTCAAATTTCTGCCATGTCGTCACTTCCAGTTGCTGATTTTCATTCTGCCTGTTCGACTTGACCTGAACTGTTTGCTTTGCGCTCACAAATACAAAGTGTTTTGTCTGCATCAATCAAATCACTTGCACCTTATTACAACACCCATAATGAACTCTCAACTCTAAGTAATTATGTTCTCAGAGGCTCAAGGCTCGTTGCACCATGTTCAACAAGACCTAAACTGAACGCACTAACACATGAAAGACAACAAAGGATTGTGAACACAAAGCAAAGATTAAGAGACTTCTACTGGTGACATCGACTGACTCCTACTCCAAATGGCCTTTTCATGTTCTGCTAATACTACTGATGTTATTCAGTTTATCTCATCTGTCTTTAGTCCTCACAGCAACCCAGAGAACATTGTAAGAGACAACGGTACACAGTTTACCTCTGAATTCTTCACCTCATTCAGAGGCATCTCACAGCAGAACATCTGTCTACTACCCAGCTCCAAATAGAGCAATTGAACGATTTCATCGTGACCTCTGCACCTGCATCCAGACATCAATCCAGCAGTCACAGCCATGGAAGCAGACTGTGTTGGATTGGCTTCAAGTTTACTGTACAACACTGCATGAGACAACTTCCATCTCTCCCTATGAACTCCTGCATGGCAGAAAGATGCAGCCTGAACTGGACATACTACCTTTGCCTCCTGCTGTAAGAAATATCA